AATACAGTATAGCACCGATAGAACATATAACTTTCCTCTAATTCTTTAATGCTTCCTCCCCCCACTATCATGATCCCAATTCTACCTTACAAATCCGGCAAGACCAGAGGATGTGCACTGGTACAGATAAGAGCTGGAAACAGGGAATCCAGGACAGATAAACCCCTCACAACCAATAATGAGAGTAGAGATACCAGGAGGGTAAGGGAAGATGGGGGGAGAAAAGGGGAACCAGTCACAATGATCTACATAGAACTCCCTCCCAGGGGGATGGACAGCAGAAAAATGGGTATAGAGAGACATTGGTCAGTGTAAACCATGAAAAAATAATTTATAAATTATCAAGGGCTTGGGAGGGAGGGTAAAAAAATGAAGATCTGATACCATGGGCTCAAGTAGAAAGAAAATGTTTTGAAAATTATAATGGCAACATATGTACAAACGTGTGTGATATAATGGATGGATATATGGATTGTGCTAAGAGCTGTATAAACCCCCAATAAGATGATTTTTTTAAAAAGAGTGAGAAAAGATTGATAACCACTTTCAAGAAAATAGTAACTGGACGCCTACACAGTAGAACCTAATGAGGCTGGTTTGAGAATTCAAATGTGCTGTTGCTATTCTGAGTCAAACTTATTGCTACCTAGTTGATTTTGACTCATAGAAATTCTGTATAGCGTTTCTGTATAGTAAACCTGTGCAGTAGCAGACAGCCCCTGTCTTTCTCTCGCGCAAGGTGACTGATGAGTTTGAACTGTTGACCTAGGAGTTAGCAATCCAACACTTACCGACAATCCTACCAGAGCTCCTTATAGAATGCTTTTTTTTCTTTTCTCAGGGAAGCAGATTAAGTAAACTTTATGCCAGTTGTGATGGCTTTGAGAAAGATTCCAAGATTGTATTCAGGCTTCACAGGATTAGCCCACTGTTGATTAGTAATGTCTGTCATAGGAAAAGGAGTAGGGAGATGTGCTAATAAAGTTGCTTATTCAATCCTGTTTTAATCCCTCCAGATAAAGTTATGTGTATATGGTATGGAACTGGATTATTTAAATATGGGTTTTCTTTTAGCGTGTGCCTAATTTAAGCAATTCATGATATCAAGTTACTATTTCTTTAATGAAGTCATTAAGGGCATACTTTAAATTTATGGATTCTTGTTTTATTTTTTCTGAAATATTTGCTCACATTGATCTTTAGTATTTGAATCTAGCATAATTAACATTAATGTTTCATTATTTAGATAGCTTCCATTTCCTCATAGATAGGTGACTTTAAATTTTGCATTTTTGAGCACTGTTTTTATCTACATGATGCTATCTTCAACTAGACGAAATATTTTGGAAAGATTTGTTTTCTGCTCATCCTTAATTTAAATGAATCTGATATGCACAGAAAATAATATATTTGTTGGAAGGGTACGCAGAAGAGAACAAGAGGGCATTCAGTGTTACAGGGCAGACAGCCATTTATTATCTAGAGATGAATTCGTACCTAGTTAGTCAGAATCAGATTGGGAAAGTTTGCTTTTTATATAAGTTCTTTGTACTTAGACTTCTTTTGTTTTTAAACAGTCTTGGAAACCCAAAGGGGTAGTTTTACTCTGCCCTGTATGATTGAGATGAGTGTGTTTGCTTTAGCTTGGGTGATGTGTCTAACGTATCTAAAGTAAACAATTTGGACAAAGTCCCAAGGATTCCTTCGTTGGCTAAGTTTTGGGAGTAGCTAGCTAGACCAGTCATTGTCAGGACCTACCCACTGTCATCAAGTCAATTCCAACTCATAGTGACCCTATGTAGAGTTTTCTGGGACTGTAAATCTCTTTAAAAAATTTTTTTTAATAATTACTTTTCTATTAAATCTTGGATAAGGGTTGAGTTTCTGGTCATCAATTTTGTATTACAAAATGTAAGCTAATTACCAACCCTTCAAGTAGTATTCCCCCCAACTCTTTCCCTTTGATTTCTCCCTGATGTACAATTCTGTCTTCCCCTTCACCCAAGTTAGCACCTGTCTACCCTCTACTTATTACTTCACATTTCCTCTTGTGCCTTCCCTTCTTTGGTAATCATCAAAGTCCTTTGGTGTGAAGGACTTTGTCTTAATTTTTTCTTTATAACAGTAGTCTCATAAAATATTTGCCCTTTTGTGCTGGACTAATTTCACTTAGCATAATGGGTGCTTTGTGGATTCATCATTGTTCTTTAGTGATGTAGTCCATTATTTGTATTTACCAAAGTTTATCAGTTTTTCTGCTGAGGGGCATTTAGGTTATTTCCGTGTTCTTGTTGGACTTAGACTATTCATGGAACTGTTACCATCATAATTTAATCCAAATCTATTACTGTAGGGTTTAAAGAATAGTGATGATGATTTACTAAGTGGCTGACTGCCTCTAGGCAATCAGTATGCCAATGGTCTTTCACATAAACTGTGTTATTTTGTGACCTGTACAGAGATGAGACATTCTGATCCCCATTTTTAAGATGAGGTTCTCAAAAGTTAAATGAATTACTCAAGGCTACTAAAGGCTGGATTTGGTATTTTAGCTCAAATCGATCTGACCAAAAATACCTACCTCATTTCACAAACAACAGTGCATTTCGATTCTTCTTAAATGTTTTCAGTACTGGAGATACATTATCATTTAAAACTTAAATTTTATTTGCCTGTGATGTTACCTACCTTTCTGGTAGGTAAATAATCTTAAGCATTTAGGAAATAGTAATATGACTTTATATAACATACACAAAACATTAGTGAGAAACATGTTCTGCCTCTTTTCTGGTGTTTTTGAACTTTTAAGTAGCTAAAGTTTGGAAGATTTTCTTTAAATCTTTAAATGTAGGTAATAACTAAATTTAAAGTGTCATCAAGATTTTTAAGTTATAATCAAGTCAGCATTTTTATAAGATGATTAATAGACTTTTAAATAGATTATTTTTTAGAGCCATTTTAAGATTACAGGAAAATTGTAGAAAGCCGTTTTCTCCCCAACGTCCTCTCATTAAACATATTACGTATAATACATTTATTATAATTTGTAAAACAAAATTGATACATTCCTATCAATGAAAGTCTGTAGTTTACATAGGGAGCACTGGTGAAGCAAAGGGATAAGCATTGAACTGCTAATTGAAAGAAAGGTGGTGGTGGTTTGAACTTAGCAGCTTCTTTATGGGATCAATATGTGGCAGTCTGCTCCCATAAAGATTTACAGCCTTGGAAACCCTACGGAGCAGTGCTGCCCTGTGTCCTACAGGGTCGCTGTGAACAGGAATTGACTTAATGTCAGTACGTATAGTTTACATTAAGGTACATTCAAAATAATTTAACATGTGCTTTAATTTAATTGTATGCATTTAACCTTACATATGGGATTTTTGTAGAGTGTGTGTTGTTGTTTCTATTCTACCCTTTACCCACCCCCTACCCCCACTTCCAACTGTGCTACCTGGTAAGTGTAAAATCATTGTAAATTTGTAACCAGAAGGCACTCTAGGGGTTTAAGTTCTATAATTAAAAAATAAATATTTTTTCTTTTTTCTTCTGAAGTGGTTTTTACCCTAATGTTTCAATTCTCTTGAAATTAAGTATGGGACATTTGGAACTATTATTCTTTCTTTAGGTGGTATACCATAGCTAAAAGTATGTTTACCATATTTTTAAAATAGCTCATAAAAAAGTGTTTCTGGGAAGCTTGATGGGCAATGACAGTTGGATTTAATACCTTATGCAAAATGAATAATTAAAGGTTTCGTTGTGTCGTGATTGTATACAGAGTCCTTCAGTATCTCCCAATACCAGTTTCACTTCTGATGGCTGCCCGTCTCCAATAGGAGGAATTAAGCGAAAAGCAGAAGATAGTGACAGTGAGCCTGAGCCAGAGGATAACGTCAGGTGAAGCCATATTTTGGTAGTACTTTGTTAGCAAATTGCTGAAATAGATGTAGTGTAATTAAAACTATTTATGTTAGGGCACCAGTGCCTTCAGATGCTTGTGTGTGATCTTTTTATCCACCAGTAATTAATGTGGAGGGTTAGAATAGTCAGTAAATTCCAGTGAGATGTGTAAGTGATAGCTGTTAAACCTGAGTATCTAGATTAGTATGCATACAGGTTTTTATCTTTCAAGCCGCTCTCCCTCTGAGACCAGGCAATAGATCAGCTGGATAGGAGGTATTTATCTCTGACTATGTGATCTGAATGTTACTCTTGTGAAATTAAATTTTCAAGTTGCTTAACCCAGAACGTTCCGTTATCCTTGGACTGCTTAATGAGGTGTGCTTTAATTCTTTCAGCATTAAAAAGTTCTTCCTAAAATGATATATGCAAAAATCATTCTGTTGAGAAATACATATGTATATTTTTAAAAGCCTTGCATATAAACAATTATATTTCATGACAGTGGAGTTTCCTTTTAGTTATATATAAGAGAAACTCTGATTCTCTATTTGAGGCAGAAGTTTGGGATCATTATACAGTAAGATTGAACATGAATTTAATCGTGTTTTTAAATTTGAACCCTGACTTTAAGAGCAAAAAGCCAAGTCTCAATAATTCTGACTCATTACGAATACAGGAATAAAATATCCAGAAAAACTTGTGGATGCCAGAGCCAATGTAAGATGAAGGTTTGTCAGGGAAGGAAAACTCAGATGTTTCCACTAAAATGTGGAAACATGAAAAACTTGCAAGACCGAGAAAAGCAAGGTAGTCCCATGGAATTTTCCCTCTCATAGGCGGTTCACTGTATTTCAAAGTTAAACAGAAAAAGTAAAGTCAGCTACAGCTCATGCTTTTTTAATGAGATGTGGAAAGAGTGTGGTTTGTATGTGAACTTCAATTAACCTGTAAGATTTGGTCCATGGAGCCCTTAATGGAGAATTACCTTGATATTCTCTAATTGCCCCCACCCTACCCCCCCGGCAAAATTTTTTTGTGGTGTGGGGGTGGGAGGACCTTTGATATCTTTGTATTTTAGAGAGTTAGAAATGGGTACTTACATTATTTTTACTTTGAATGAAAATGTGGTTTCTCACATGACATTTTTCAGGGATTAGTGATTGCTAAGTGAATGAATTGACCTGCTTCTAGGTACATTGTTCAACATACACACACCACACCTATACATCTCCTTTCCTTCAGCAAACAAAAACTGCGAACTAAAAGTGATATAGGTCACATAGGTATACTTAGAATTGCTGTGGTTTTGCAGATTATTCTTTTATAAGTTATTTTTTAATCTTCTAAAAATTAACAGACCCTTTTTTTCTGCATAGTAATTTAATTGACTATATTGTTTAAATACAGTCACTTTAATAAACTAAAGAACTTGGACTACATAAGATACCATTAGTACTTGTATTTTAAAATGACAATTAGAAAGCATGTAAAGCAGTATTGAAATTTGAGCAAAACATGTTTGGTATGTAATAAATGGTGGTTTTACCTTTCCCCCCCAAAAATATGGTTTTATAATGCTCTTGTTGGAATCCGTTTTAGTTCATAACCTAAAAGTTAATAAATCTCGTGAAAGTAGACATTTTAGCAATAATTAGATAAATTAATTTTAGTAATACTTCTAAAATATTAATTAAACTAGTTTTGCCTAATTTTCAGGTTATGGGAAGCTGGTTGGAAGCAGCGATATTATAAAAACAAATTTGATGTTGATGCAGCTGATGAGAAATTCCGCCGTAAAGTCGTACAGTCTTATGTTGAAGGGCTCTGCTGGGTTCTTCGATATTATTACCAGGTACAAAATGATTTTTCTTTTTATCAACAGCTAATAGTTTTAAAATGATAGCAGCTTCTATAATACTATATATTAATTGTTGAGGTAATTAATCAAATAAAACGCAGGCCCATTTTCAGTAACTTCCTGTTCTCAAGTTTATTGCCTCGGAGAGTATTTGTTTGAACATTTGCAGGTAATTTTGCTGGGTGAAAGCATTTCACCATGAAGTAGTTTGGTTAACTTTCTTTAAGATAATTAATGTTTTGTTTATTTTTAATTAGAAAACAAAGAAAAGGAGTACCTACTTGTCACTAAACAAAATCCCTGCAAAAAGGACAACACCTAGAAAATACCCGTAAGAATTGGAGAGGAATAGGAATTATAGCAGTCTTCCCCTCTACTATAGTGATGGTATATGAAGTGCCTTGTAATTGGAGTACTGTATTTCTCATTTAAACCTTCAGATAATCGAGAAATCAGATTGATGAGAGATCAAAGAGATAGTATGAGGGATTATAGCACTGAATGTTAATGTCTACTTTTGTGCTGAGAGCAAACCACGTTGAAGTTGGTGTAATCTGAGAATAAATGAAGTTTAAGTAGCAAATAATGTAATATACTAAGTATCATTTGTAAAATACTAAAGTGCAAGTCCTACTCTCAAGAATTCATTCCTTAGACAAAGCCAAAACACATGTCAAAAAGATTATCTCTGGTTGTACAATATGAAGGATATAATCAGCGGCACTGAATTTCTATGTAGAATGTGTGATAGTGGAGAATATTTTGTTGTGTATATTTTTGCCCCAATTAGAAAAAAGATAATTACATGCATAGCAATGAGTACAAGGAAGAAGAGAATGTTCTAGGATTGAATGTGATGTCAATTGTACAACTCTTCTTGATAATGATTGAATTGAATTGTATGACATGTGAATGAGTGCTAAAAAACTTAAACAGATTATTTCTTTTCTGTGAGTATAACTTGTTTTTGTTTAGTTAAGGTTGCTCAAATATTATAGTTGAGAAATTTTGAAGAAAAAAGTCATATATTAGTATATAGCCAAACCTGTCATTGTATTGAGTCCATTCCGACTCCTTGTGACCTTGTAGGACAGTTTAGAACTTCACCTGTTGGTTTCTAAGACTGCAAATCTTTACAGAGGTAGAAAACTTTGTATTTTCCCAAAGGAGCAGCTGGTGGGTTCAAACTGCTGCTCTTGGGGTTAGCAGCTCAATGCATAACCCACTATGCCAACAGGGCTCCTTACAAATATACTAGGGAATTATAAAACAAACTTTTGACTGTTTCACCCTGAGCAACTCTGTCCGTTTGTCCATCTACGTGTTCTGTTGCAACTGCTCATGTTTTATTTGATGATAGCAGCTCACGTGCTGACAAGACATGTCACCAAATATATTTTAAAGATAAAGTTTTTAATAATTATGTTTGTGAATATAAAGTTTGACATTCAGTACTGATTATAAAAGATGCTTGCAGTGTTTTTAAAGTAGCCATGGAAAATGAGGTGTAAGGACTGAAGTATATACCACAAGTCACGTTTTTTTAAAAATTTGTTTGTTTTTTTGTGGGGAAAGCATTTATGGGGTGTCAGGATAGAAAGAGTGCAGGCTCCACAGCCTCCTGCCCTGGGGTTGGGAGTTATGGGGTATGGAGCCGCATTATGATTGGGTGCTCAGCCATTCACTGAGTGGAAACTCCCCAGCTTAGGCGTTCCTGTGTACTCCCCAGACACTGCTCAAGTCATTTGTTTTACAAATGAGATTTTATAGGTTAACATTCTAATTTTACGTGGTTTTTCTTTTTCCCAAAGTACCCACCATTGACATAGGGTTGTTTTTTGTTTGTTTGTTTGTTTGCTGTTTTTATTTTAGGGCTGTGCTTCCTGGAAGTGGTATTATCCATTCCATTATGCACCATTTGCTTCAGACTTCGAAGGTATTGCAGGCATGCCTTCGGATTTTGAGAAGGGCACAAAACCGGTAAGCTTGATGATTTAAGATAAAATTCATAGTTGACTTGAGTAAAACTTGTGTGTCTTTTAACTTTTTTCTTTCTTGCAGTTTAAACCACTTGAGCAACTCATGGGAGTTTTTCCAGCTGCAAGTGGTAACTTTCTACCTCCGTCATGGCGGAAGCTCATGAGTGATCCTGTGAGTCTCTTTGTATTTTGAGTGTGATGACGATGATTGGATTTTTGTCATGTTTTTCACTTATATTAGTCACTGTTTCTTTGCATCTTAGTTAAAATAATGAAGTATAGAAATAAAATTAATGAATTTCAGTTATATATATTTTTACACCCCCTAGTTTTTTGATAGCCTACTTGTATTTCTTTCAGTCACCAGTGGTGACTACCAGTGCTAAAAAGACTGGTTAACTTAAATCACCTTTAAGCTTGTTGTGTATACTAGCTGGAAGGAGTGAAGAATTAGAAAGATCTGGGAAGTAGGAAGTGTTAGTGTTAAGAAACTCTTCTTGACTCTAGGTGTACAGTTGTCAATTCTAAAATTCATAGTAGAATAATGCCTTTTTTTAATCTTTAAGAAAATAAAGTTTTGAGATTTTATTAGCTGTGATTAATGAATTTATATCTAAATATTTGAAGAGGAAACTTCATTTTCTCACTAGTTTTAGAAACTTAAATAGTTACTGCGCTTTTTTGTGACAGATGTGTAATTTTTGTCTTAATTCTATACTTTTCTCCCTAATAAAGGATTCTAGTATAATTGATTTCTACCCTGAAGATTTTGCAATTGATTTGAATGGGAAGAAATATGCATGGCAAGGTAAAAATTCAACAATCCTCTCTTTAAAATAATTTTTTTCAGTTTTTTTGTTTGTTTTTAAATCATTTTATTGGGGGCTCATACACCTCTTATCACAATCCATCCATCCATCTATTGTGTGTCAAGCACATTTGTATATTTGTCTCCCTCATCATTCTCAGAGCATTTGCTCCCCACTTAAGCCCTTGTTATCAGCTCCTCATTTTTATTTCCTCCATCTCCACTCCCCCCTCCCTCATGAACCCTTGATAATTTATAAATG